TAGACACACTTGTTTAATTTGTTGTAGACAAGGCACTGATAGGATGCCACTAATGTAGGTATTATAGATATTATTGTTGGCCTGACCTCTCTCATGTCTCCTCTCTCAATTTTCTGAGTAAAGTTACTGTAAAGGCTCTTCTTGTTTTCTTTTCTCTAGTTCTGATTTATGTTGTCTATTTCTATTTGGAGCTTTTCTTGACAATCCTTGAATATCTTTTCCTTCATTTTGAAACTTTTAACTTCTTTTTCTAAAATTTATATCTTTAATTTTCATCTTTTAAATGATTTCAGAAATAAATTATGGTTATGACTGAAATTTGGCTATGATGCTGGCACTTATCATGAGCTATGATGGTTCCCAGGTTTAGATCCATTTTTTATTTTTTGTGACTCCTAAATTGTTGGGTGTCTTTTACTGTTATTCTTGGTTTAGTTTTTGTTAGTTGCTTCTTTTACCATACTTTCAAAAATATGCTAAAAATTACAATTCATGAGCTGATCACTGAAGTTGTGACCTTAGCAGGTGAAGTTGGATGAGGATGAAACTTCTAGTTTACGAGATCGTCTTCTTCCTCTTATAATTGGATTGCTCAGAACAGTAAGTGATTTTTTATTCTTGTTTGTTCATGATGCTATAGTTCCTCGTGATTTTTTGGAAGGGATTCTTGTTTTTTATCAACTTTACTTTTGTGCTTGAAGACATGTAGTAGTCATATATTCTTCTCTTTAATTTTCAAAAGGTGCCAGATATTAATTACTATAACTTTGGGCTGGTAACAATTGAGTCCACAATGTATCTTTATTTTTTTCAAATAGAATCTTTTTACCATCTTTCTTATCCAATGCTTGAGTGATGTAAGGTAAACTTTTGATTAATAATTTTTTTGTTTTGTTTATTTGAAAATAAAACTCATAATCGTAGACAATATTTACAAATCTATCGAAGTGTCTATAAGATCCCTAAGATCAGCTCTAGAATAAAATTGGTGATCCATTAATAAAACGATTAGGATCTGGAATCAAGAATCCCTGAATCTGTCAAAATTACCTTCTCTTCCTCTATTTCATCCAAAAGGTAGCCAGTGGATAAGTCTTCATCATTTATTCCCATGAATTCCTCCTCAAGCACATAACTTCTTTCACAAAGCTTGCTATGATCCAATTCAAGCCCAAAGCACCATGAGCCAAATTCCATAACTTATGTGCGGAGGGGCACCACAGAAGAATATGAATACAAGACCTAGCTTCTCTTCTCACACAATTAACAACCATTCACTAAAATTTCCCCCTCTTTATATGCTTGTCCACCATTAGAATGCGTTACCCAACAACTTCCCTGGTGAAGAAGGCTATTCTTAGGGTTGCTTTTACTTTCCAAATCAGTCTAGCTGGAAAAGTCATCCACCTCGTCTGCCGTGCCTCCCTTTACCAACATTCCTTTGTGTTTCTCTTCTCTAACCCTTGGTTTTTCCCTCCATTTGGGCTTGGGTTTAAGAACCTGAGCCCATTGACCTTTCTCCCTAGCAATGTAGCTCTTGGGCCTATTTCTATCAATTGCCACACACTGGGTTTGACCCCAACAGCCTGGTCGGGCCAATATCTTGAGAAGATTTAAAATTTGAAATTGACCGACTTGGACTTAGCTCAGAGTTCAGCTTCTCCACGTGCTTTTACCCATCCTCGGCGTCCTTCATCATGCTAGCATAGGATTTGCACTCCTCCATTTTCATTTTTGCATGGACTTCAACCTTACGACTTGGGCAACTAAAGCTACAGCTAATCACTTCTGACCTCCCTCCTGTCTGGTTCTACAATTTCAGCATCCTCCTTTCTGCTTATGGAAACTTAGTTTTCTAAGCAGCAAACTGTTCATTCCCTAGCAGCCTCCACCAGCCACTGGCCTGAAAGCCTTTTGGAACCGCAACCCTCCTCTCTCCCTTTCTCTTTGTAAAACCAGATATTTCCCTCACAATCTCTCTCATCGTCACCCAGAGATGTGATCTGCCTAGTCTAA